CTTTGTCACACTCGAGAAGGTCGCTAAAAGCACCTAACCGTCTCCTATGGTTTGCGTCAACATTGGTTCACTCGACTTTTTTACAAAACAAGACAAGGACAGTTAGAAGTTGGCCAATAAAGACCACAATAAAAAAAGAAGCAAGAATACCCACAAGGTTCATGACAAAAGCATCATCGGCCTTAGAGCAATAGAAAAATACTCGGAATCCCATTTTCTGAGCTTCTTGTGGACATTGATCAACCCATCCAAATGGGTCTCTCTCGCTTTGGAGAGGTAGAAAGTGTCACCCTAACCTTTCTTCAGTTTGTATAGATAGACGAGCTCTTCTACAAATAGCTCACATATTTTTTTCTAAACCATAGGCAATGAACATGCCTACCATTATTATGTAAGAATTCCCCGTCAATTGAAAGGGAGCAACGTTGAAACGATCTAAAACATCAAAGATGAATTGGTGAGGTGGGATAGACATACCATACCTCAAAAGAGTCTCAGAGATCACCACCCAACCTATGGGTAGATACTTCCACAAGAGATCTCCTGGAATGTGAAGAGAGTATTCGTTTAGGATCACATAGCTCTCTCTTATCTTCTCAAGATCATTTTTGGTGATCGATGAGGTCAGATCTTTTCTAAACCTAGATTGACACGGGGGGCTCGCATTAGGGGTTTCCTCACTCAAGTCTAGCGAGTTTTCAGCCTTACTGCTCACAGTCTGTCAAGAGCCTCGGCAGCGAGCTCATCCTGAGCTCTCTCTCCACCACCAGCCAAAGCTGCTGAAGAGCCCTCTGAGAACATTCTTTCTATGCTGACATCATAGGAAGACATTTTTTACCAAGCTCGCTCATGGATACCTAAAAGAAGAAAACAAGTGTCAAGTGTCAGATAATGGGTGACCTATCCACACTTGCCTCCAGTTCAAGCATCCAAAAAGCTTGCACAAAAAGAAACCTAAAGCTAAACCTAGAAACTCAAGTAAGCTATCAAGATTCCCAGCAACTGACGGAGAATTCCAGTGAAGGATTCCGACGGTTGCTCATCAAGACGCTCTTGAAACCCAAGGTTAGAGGGTTTTAAACCCAAAAGAACTAACCTGGACATGATAGTGGCCACCCCGATAGCAAAAAACTTGAAGAAAACAAGGAGAGCGGGTGTAAAGAGAACTTACTAAAATTCAAGTGACGGGAAGGTTCGCTGGGAAGTCGTCGTGAAACCAAGATGCAAAGTTAGCAGAGAAGAAGAATATCAAGTACGAATAAACCTCGAGATTACAAGAATGGAAAAATAAGGGCAAATATCCTGTTTTATAGTGGCGAGTTAGAAGAAAAAATTGCGGGAGTCGATCTAAGCTATTAATTTACGACGAATCTCAACCTTCCATTCACCGAGCAATCTTGACCGATCAATGGTTACAAGTGGCGACAATTCATGAGGGGCAATCAACCATCAAATCGAGCAATGATAACCATCCGCACAAGTTGCTTCGACTTCGCAAGTAGCAACACATGTCACTTCAATTCCACTCATGGCTAAATGTTATAGTCTACGCGCAACGAAAAGTGATTGCAAAACGTTGGTTGCATTTAATGTGATGTGTCAACCCAAAAATTACCCTTGTGCCCTTCATTTCAAATTTCAAATTCGAAAGCATTACAACAAGAGGCTAAGTCTCAGTCACATCTGGTGAAGCTAAGGTCAAGTGATGAAGCTTGGATAATCTCAACGACCTATGTGTAAGTTAAATCAATGAAGGAATTCGATCTAAGTGGCAAATCAAGCAACTTTAGTCTTCAAAGCTTGACACGACCTCTAAACACTGGGGGGCAGATGTGTGTGATTTTGCTAGCAAGCTTGTAAAGATGTAGTTTGACCCAGAATCAGCTCGACTCAAGAACAAGCTCGACCCAGAATCAGTACAATCCGGAGTAAGCTTGATTCAGTTGAAGCTTGTCATAGTAACCAATCCTAACTTCTATTCGATAAAATCAAAGATAAGCTAAAATCTCTTATAGTTCGGAAGCGATAAGATCAACACTACCAACAGTGCAATCTCAGCGCTCAATCATGAAGATCACGGGATTGCATATCAAATTTGATCGAAATCTCGAACTTATCTCTCTTTCCTTTTATTAAAAATTGTATAAATACCCCCTCAAACTATGAGAGAGGGGTTAGCAATTTTTTTCTAGGCATATTATTATATTTTCTTGTAAGCTCTCTAAAGCAATAGGAAAACAATGGACGTAGGCTTAAGTCTCAACTTGTCGAACCACTTAAAAAATTGTTTGTAAGAATTATATAAAAGAAACAAAAATCTATACAAAATATGAGGGGCATACCCTAAGCGAATGACTGAAACTCTTAGTCAAAAAACATATGGAAAAACCACAAAGCCACAAACAGCATAAAAACAACACACTGGCTACCCAAAAAACTAATAAGGCAAATGCCATATCGCATGGAGTTAGGCCAAGATCTCATACTTGGGTGCTAAACCCAAAATCTTGGCCTGGACTAAATCACAAATAGCAGATACAGTATCTTTCCAAAGCTGCAATGCTGACGAAACACACGATTATTCCATTCAGACCACTGAAAATAAACTGTAGCTGAAAGGACTAACAGGGAAAGAAGGTGTCTGAAGTCCCCTTTGCATATAAGATGCAAGCTAGCCCACTAAAGCAAAAGAAACCTAGAGAGAGTAGGCCATGTAGAGAGCATCCTGGTAGTGACCTCCCACCAAGTATAACTAGAGAAGTTACAGCTAAAAAACAGATGATCATGAGTCTCTATAGTAGACCTACACAGAACACATAAGGAAGATGCAATGACACCATGTTTTTGCTTTAACACATATTCATTTTACATTGCTAATTTTCATTAAATCATGAATACATCGGTTCTGATTTCGTCAAGGTCAATGGATCTCTCTGGTTGGTACGAGTATTTATATCAACATACATATTGTGTACTGTACGTTAATGTGGTATAGGGAATAGCAGTTGGAAATAACATCATCAACCTAGCTTATAGATAGGAACTAACAAGTAACATTGAAGTCATATTTTACAATGGTCTTCAAGTTGAATCATGTATATATAAAATTTTGATGTATAAGAAGATTATTAATTTATATATCAAATGATACTTATGTTTTTTTTTTTTTTTAATGTATTATCGTACAAATCTAGCAAATTATTAATTTTTCACATTAGTCCAAAGCCGGGACCAGCAAAAAATATTATTTAATCAAGGTTATTAATTTATTGAAGTTTAACTATATATATATAAGAATTTCTATGCCATTCAGATTTTATAGCTTTCTATTTCTAGATTTGGTTAACTCGTAAAGCTTCACATAGCCTAATCAAACTTTACCATATCAGTTTGGTCTTTGGATTTTTGTTTTTAAATGAGTTTCGTACATTATGCCTACTAATTACCATAATAATTTGTCACTACTCACTAGCCATTTGATATCATTATAGATAAAATTATAGTGATACTATTTTTTTTTTATTTCTCATTTTTATTTTATACAATAGCTTTAAAAAAAATGGGTTTCATGAGAGGGAGATGACGCTTATATGATATCAAGGGTGGAGGGAGGGGGGGTCAAGGAGGGTCAGTTCACCCTCCTTGACTTTTAAAATTTTTTGTTATGTTTTCACAAATTAACCCCTATATAAAATTAAAATAACAAAAAGTTGCATTATATATTTATACCCAATAAGTTACACTTTTTTTGTTTTGGAGCCCGTGAAACTAAAAGTAAACCCTTCGTTCTCCTGCTAAAAGTAAACCCATCAATCTCCTTCCCTCAGACGTTTTCTTCCTCTTCGATAACCTATAAAGCCAATTCTTTTCCTTTAAGGCTTTATCCACAAGTGTAATTTTCTCCTCCTATCAAGCCAACAAGTCCCTTTTTTTTTTTCAATTTTTCAGGTAATACATATTATGTTTGTATTATTTTATTTTAAAAGTTTAAGATTAAATTATAGATTAGGATTTAGGAAGATGAAATTGTCATTGGGACCACAAATTGCATCCATTTTTTATTTATTTGTAATGATATATTGAAGTTAGAGGAAGTAAGAAGATAGTTTTTAAACTTGTTTTGGAGTTGGCCTTGGGACCACATTGTTTTACCCATTCCATATTGCCCTTTTTTTGTTTTTTTTTTTTATATGAGAAGATGAGTTCTTGGGACCACATTGTTTTACTAATTTTTATCTTTGTTATATAAAAGTGTTTGATTCAAATGAATTTTGGAGTTGGCTTTGGGACCACATTGTTTTACCATTATAGCCGAATTTGTGTTATTTTTATATGGAGAAGATGAGTTCTTGGGACCATATTGTTTTACCCATTTTTATCTTTGTTATATAAAAGTGTTTGATTCAAATGGATTTTGGAGTTGGCCAATGGCAATTTTGTGTTGTTTTTTTTTATGGAGAAGATGGGTTCTTCATTCTTGGGACCACATTATTTTACCCATTTTTATATTTGTTATAAAAAGTGTTTGATTCAAATGGGAGTTAATTTTAATTGTTTTACAAGTGTTATAAAAAAGTGGATTTAATTGTACAAGTGTTTGGTTATTTGAATAGATTTTTTACGCATATCAATTGAATTTTAGCCAATGTATATAATGTAAGATATATTTAAAAAAAAAAAATATTGCATTAAGATCTATTTCAATTCAATTTCTATTACTTTAATTTAATTTTTGTTAAAGTACTTACAAATTAGAAATAGATATACTTGTAAGTTGTGATGTGTATGTATTGTTAGAATACTTTAACTTATTAGCTTTATAAATTTTTGTAGTAGTTGTAATTTCACTTATCTTAATAATTATTATTGTATACATAGATTATTGTTATTGTTTGGTTTTACTGAGTACATAGCTTATTTTGTTGCATTTTTCTCTATCAAGTAATAATATATTATTGTTTTGAAATAGTATGGAGAGATATTTCAAAAGAATGTCAACAATGATCTCATCATTTGAACAAGAGGAAAATATTGGTGATTCAAGTAAAAATGTGGATGTTGACTTTTTGAGATCTTCCTACGAATCCAGGCTTAAGACCTTGAATTTCAGATTATGATCCTAATACTCAAGATCAAATTCGAAGAATATATTTGGAAAGGGGTCCTTGTCAACCTAGGGGCCATGAGTTTCCTTCTAGGTATTTTGGTGGATTTTCAAGACGTTTTGTTGTTTCTTGGTTTAGTGAATTTGAACAATGATTGGAATATAGTATAGCCAAAGATGTTGCGTTTTGTCTTTATTGCTATATTTTTAAGCTAGATGGTGATAAAGGGGGTGGTGATCGCTTTGTTGGTCAAGGGTTTTCAAATTGGAAAAAGAAAGAAAAATTGAATATTCAGGTTGGAGGTTCTAACAGTGCTCATAACCAAGCTCGAAGAATGTGTTAAACATTATTGAATCAAGACCAACATATTCAAACATTTTTTTATCGACATTCTTCTCAAGCACGAACAGAGTATCGAACTCTTTTAAATGCTACAGTTGACTGTATTCGTTTTCTTCTAAGGCAAGGACTTACATTTCATGGTCATGATGAATCCTATGATTCAAGCAACCAAGGGAATTTTCTCGAGCTTCTACAATTCCTTGCTAATCATAATGAAGATTACAATGCTGTTGCTTTCAAGAATGCTCCTGATAATCTCAAATTGACATCACCTAAGATTCAAAAAGACATTGTAAGTGCTGCTTCAAATGAAACCGTAAGTGCTATCATTAGAGATTTAGGAGATTCATTATTCTCTATAATGATTGATGAATCTCGTGATATCTCTAGGAAGGAACAAATGACTATTGTCTTATGTTATGTTAACAAGAATGGACTTGTTGTGGAGCTTTTTCTAGGTGTTGAACACGTTACTTGTACCACAACTCTCTCACTCAAGGCAACACTATATAATTTCTTTTCAAGGCATAGGTTGAGTTTTTCTAGACTGCGAGGACAAGGTTATGATGGAGCTAGTAATATGCAAGGAGAATTTAATGGTTTGAAGACATTGGTTTTGAAAGAGAATAGATGTGCTTATTATATTCATTGTTTTGCCCATCAACTCCAACTGGCTTTTGTGGCTTTGGCAAAGAACCATGATGATGTTAATGATCTTTTTAATATTGTGGTGATTGTGGTTAATATTGTCAATGTTTCGTCAAAGCATTGCAATCTTCTTAGAGATAAGCAAGCTTGTAAAGTTATTGAAACTCTTTCTAATGGTGAACTTTCAAGTGGAAAAGGTCTCAATCAAGAGATTAATATGCAACGTGCTAGTGATACGCGTTGGGGCTCGCATTATGGTACGTTAATGAGCATAATCTTGATGTTTCCATCCATTATCGATGTTCTTGAAATTGTGGCAAAAGATAGGTCAAACTCTAAGCAAAGATTTCATGCAAAAAACATATTTAAATTGATGCAATCATTTGACTTTGTTTTTAGTTGTTAGGGCCAAAAATTGTCCTCGGCCCAAATAGGAAAGCAGGATCATTTGCGAAGAAGAGACCAGGCCTAAACCCCAAAGAGGCCCAAGCCAGATTAGTCATATTCGATACAAGATACGGCCTGCCCAAACCATCTAGGCACGGGCCTCCCAGTTCCAGTTCACTTCCTAGGCCTATAGGCGAGTTCCGAGTCCACGGCCCACTGATCACATTCCTGTTCTTGATCAATCTCCTACTCGAAGTCATTTTCCTGTTCAGAACACTTTCCTACTCGAAGTTACTTTCCTGATCAGAATCACCTTCCTATCTGAACACTGGTAAGACAGCTTCCCACGGCCCTAATTCTTCTAGGGTTTGCATAAGAGTCACATTAGGACTCCTACTCCCACTAGGATTGGTAGACCAGACAGTCACTATATAAACAGAGGCCAGCCCTCTCACAAAGGACACTACATTACACCTTCACATCCGAAGCTCCTACTTGAGAGCTTTACATCACTGTCGTAGCCACAGTCTCCGACTAGACTTCCGGTAACCTCTTTACTCCCTAGCCCTCACTATACTAGCCTCTTTCAGCCTTGCTGACTTGAGCGTCGGAGTGCCTACGGTAAACACCACCCCGGTGTTTCTCGTTTGCTTCATGCGTTTATTTTTCTACGTGTGTAGGTACAGCGGATCGCTAGTGGCCTCGACCTCATGGGATCAGACCCCCCTTTCGTACAGGTAGATTTTTACGTCTACAGTTTGGCGCCCACCGTGGGGCCTCTAGCAATCATTCGGCTCGACGAACCCTACTGCATAGAGGAACTTTCCATGGCTGACAACTCCGATAACACTAATCCCAGCCTCGAGGCCAAACTAGAAGCTCTAACCGCTCTCATGCAACAGAACGTGGACAAGGTGGCTGCATTGGAAGCTGAGAACAATGCGATCCGAACAGAAAACGCGTCCATCATGTTAGAAAACCAATCTCTGAAGGAGAAGGTGAGTCAATTCTATGACCTAGAGTTCCTGCCCGGCTAAGCACTCCCCAATCGGTTCCGCATCCCTGCTCTGTCCATGCAACCTCTCCTTACGCCGAAGCCCCGACCCTCAGCCTCTGGCAAAAGGCTGCGTCCCTTAAACCCGTCTGTAGTTGACGATTCTGTCCTAATTCATGGAGATAAAGATATGCCTGTAGAACATCATTCAGCTGATTCATCCTAACATCAAGATCAAAATGATCCAGTGGCAGAAAGGCCTCATCCATAAGACCAGCTCAATCTAACCATCCCAACACATACTCCACTCGGCTCGGCTTGGCTCATCCTCGCGGGATGAACGGCCAAACTAAACCAACAGCACCCGAGCCTATCCATCCTGACCAACCGAATGACTATTAGAGGACTTCCCTGACCATCCATGTAGGGCAAAACACTAGAATAGTTACCATGGGAGTCATCCAACAGGAAGGAATGACCGAAGATCTATGCTATCAGGGAACGTACAAAGGAACTCGTCAGACTAGCCCAAGAGGGATGACCCAATGGAATGTACCAAAGTTAAATGCAAAGGCTGACCCGGTCATGCGAGATGACCTAGTGGCGTCCTCTTCTCCTATCGAATAGGTACTAGCCAAGAGATTGGCCGATGTGGAAGCAGTGATGCGACGCATTCTAGGAATGTCGATCCCAACCAAGAAGAGCAGGCCCCATTGTTATGCGGATTCACCCTTCGTGGACGAGATCGCCCTAGCCGACATGCCTCATAAGTTCACTATCCCTAACATGAAAATGTACAACGGCACAACCGATCCGGACAATCACATAGCCTCGTACAAGCAACGGATATTCACCATCTCAATACCCAGACCGCTTAGGGAAGCCTGCATGTGCAAAAGTTTTAGTTTGAGCTTATCCGGCCTAACACTCCGATGGTACCCGAACCTCCCGAACGGATCCATCGATTCATTCGCTCAACTCACTGACACATTTGTGGAACAGTTCGCCAGCAGCAAGAAACTCGAGAAGCTGTTAGCCGACTTATACAGAGTATACCAGAGAAGGGGCGAGCCATTGAGAGAGTATGTCAGTAGGTTTAACAAAGAGAAGATCTCTATCCCTGCATGCAACCCTAAGACAGCCGTAGATGCCTTCAGGAAGGGTCTCCTCCCAGACGGAGAGCTATACAAAGAACTTACAAAGTTGAGATGCACAACAATGGAAGACGCCCTGGCCTGGGCAGTGATCCAAATAAGATGAGAGAAGGATGAGATAAACCGAACGATTCACTCCAGATACGATTCAAGGCAGAATAATAGGAAACCAGAGCACAGGCCAGTAGAGCATCGCTACCAACCTTCAACACATAATTCGAGAAGAGTTAGGAAACCGTATGATCGCCAGCCAACAAGAATCGAGAGTAGACAATTCGGATCGAACCGGTACAAAATACCGGAGTACAGCCTCAATGTCGAGCCAACCCAAGTGGTCGCGATTATGAAAGGAATGGGATCCACCGTTAAGTGGCTAGGCAAGCTCAATCCCGAGGCAAGGAGAGACAAGACCAAATGGTATGAGTTCCACGATGATCATGGGCACAACACCGTAGACTGCATCGCTTTACGACTAGAGGTCGCTGCATTTCTAAAGAAGGGACACCTCCGGGATCTGCTAACTGATAAGGGGAAGAAAACCATTAGCCATAAGAGTTCAAAAGAACCATCACCACCTCTACGAGAACCTACACCGAAAGGTTTTTGTTCGCTCATCTCCGGAGGATCAGAGATCAGTGGGGTAAGTTACTCATCAGCCAAGCGATATGCCAGAGCCAACCACCACCACGAAGTCCAGTCCATCCATCCGGCCTCACGGTCACACACTCATCAGGTAATTCAATTTGAAGATGACGAGCCAGTCATCCTGGCCGCTCCTCATCACGATGCCCTAGTCATCTCCTTGCAGGTCGCCAACATCCTCACAATGCCCTAGTCATCTCCCTACAAGTCGCCAACATCCTAGTGAAAAGAGTATTCGTAGATGGAGGCTCTTCAGCAAACATCTTATTCCTCGAAACAGTGAAGGCTATGGGACTGGAAGAGGCAAACATCAACAGACGGCCAACGCTGCTAGTTGGCTTTAGCTTTGAGCAGAAGTACACTATCGAGGAGATCATCCTCCTTATCTACGCCGGAGCAGTGAACAAACAGACCATTTTTCTGGTAATTGACTGCCCCTCGCCATACAACATCATCTTGGGCTGACCTTGGATCCACGACATGCGAGTAGTCCCATCTACCTTCCACTAGACGATCAGATTTCCAACCAAGTGGGGGGTACAAGAGATCAAGGGTGACCCCAAAACTTCCAGGGATTGCTATAAGAATGCCTTCAAAGGCAAGGGTAATTCTTTGTATCAATTATAGATTCATCCAACACCACCGACTGAGCTAGATCAACCATTTATGGAAGAGTTGGATGAAGTACAAATACATCCGGATGATCCCGACAGAAAGGCACATATAGGGTCCCGCCTCAAGCCCGAGACCAGAGAGAAGCTGATAGAATTTCTCAAACAAAACCAAGACAATTTCGCCTGGTCGCACGTCGACATGACCGGAATCAATCCAAAAACAATGGTCCACCAGCTCAAGGTAGACCCAGATCACCCACCAGTGAAACAGAAGAGAAGGAAATTTGCACTAGAGCGTAACCGAATTGTCAACGAAGAGGTCAAAAAGCTTCTAAGTAATGGTATGATCAAAGAAGTCCACTACCTCGAATGGCTAGCGAATGTCGTGGTTGTAAAGAAAAAGAACGGGAAATGGAGAGTGTGCATCGACTTCACGGACTTGAACAAAGCCTATCCCAAAAATTCCTTCCTGCTCCCACATATCGATATGATGGTCAATGCAACCGCAGGTCACGAGCTCCTTAGTTTCATGGACGCTTTCTTAGGGTACAACCAGATCTTGATGTACCCAGACGACCAAGAGAAGACAGCCTTCATCATGGAAATGGGAACCTATTTCTATAAGGTGATGCCATTTAGCCTGAAGGACGTCGGAGCCACCAACCAGCGGCTAGTCAACAAAATGTTCGCCGAATACCTAGGAGACACCATGGAGGTATACATCGACGACAAACTCGTCAAGTCATTGATAGCCGAACAGCACCTCGACCACCTCAGCCAGGCATTTGCCGTACTCAGGAAGTACGACATGAAGCTAAATCCAGCCAAGTGCTCATTCGGGGTCTCGTTAGGAAAGTTCTTAGGCTACATGGTGACTTAGCGAGGGATAGAAGCCAACCCCGACCAAATAAGAGCAATCCTTGGTATACCGTCACCAACTTGCATGAAAGACGTCCAGTGCCTCGTAGGACGTGTGGCCGCCTTAAGCCAGTTCATTTCTAAGTCAACAAACAAGTGTCATCTCTTCTTCCATGCCCTCAAGAAGTCCAAGAAGTTCGAGTGGACCGCCTCCTATGAAGAAGCCTTGTAATAGCTGAAAAGGTACCTTACCGCCCCTCCGCTCCTATCTAAACTTATGGACCGGGAGAAGCTCTACTCTTACCTAACGGTCTCAAAGACAGCTATCTCAGCAGTACTAGTTCAAGAAGAAGAAAAGAAGCAGTTGCCGGTCAACTATGTAAGTAAGTCTCTCCTTGACGTGGAAACGCGATACAGTCAGCTGGAAAAGTTAGCCCTCGCCCTCATCCAATCATCTAGGAAGCTTAGGCCGTACTTTCAGTGCCACTCAATAGTTGTACGCACCTCCTTCCCACTCAAGAAGATACTATACAAACCGAAACTATTAGGCCGACTCCTGCAGTGGACAGTAGAGCTCAGTGAGTTCGACATATCATACCAGCCTCGCATCGCCATCAAATCCCAGGCTTGGCCGACTTCATTGCTGATTTCACCCCGAATACCACCACCCAAGCAGAAAGTGAGTTATTATGCATAAACGGCGGATCACCATCCAAGTGGACCCTCTTAGTAGACGGCTCAAGTAATGTAAATGGAA